TCTTTTAAAAAAAAACATTTGACCATATATTGCAGAAGTTTATTTCTGGGCACTCTACTCTGTTCCTTTGGTCTATATATGTCTTTATGTCAGTATTCTGTTTTAATTACCATTGCTTTTGTACTGGATTTAAAAATGAGAAGTGTGTGCTTTCCAATTTTATTCTTCTTTCTCAAGACTGTTTTGGGTATTCAGGGTACCTTGAGACTCCATATGAATTTTAGAATGGATTTTTCTACTTATGCAAAAAATACTATTGGAATTTTAATAGGGATTGCATTAAATCTGTAAATCAGTTTTGGTAGTATTGATGTCTTAACAATATTAAGTCTTCCAATCCATGAACATGGAATGTCTTTCCATTTATTTGTGTTTAATTTCTTCTGAACATTTTGTAGTGAAAATTACAAGTGTACAAGTCATCCACCTCCTTGGTTAAGTTTATTCCTGGTATTTTATTCTTTTGATACTATTGTAAATGGATTTGTTTTCTTAATTTCCTTTTTCTTTCTTTCTTTTTTATTTATTTGACAGAGAGAGAGACAGCAAGAGAAGGAACACAAGTAGGGGGAGTGGGAGAGGGAGAAGCAAGTTTCCCGCGGAGCAGGGAGCCCCATGCGGGGCTCAATCCCAGGACCTCAGGATCATGACCTGAGCTGAAGGCAGATGCTCAATGACTGAGCCACCCAGGTGCCCCTGTTTTCTTAATTTCCTTTTCAGATTGTTCACTTCTGGTGTATAACAACACAATTGATTTTTGGGTGTGATTTCATATCCCACAACTTTAGCTGAATTCATTTACTAGTTCTAACAGTTTTTTTCCCCTCTAGATAATTTGAATTTTATTTATTTTTTAATTTTACTTTACTTAAATTCAATTAATTAACATATAGTGTATTATTGGTTTCAGAAGTAGAGTTCAGTGATTAATCATTTGCATATAACACCCACTGCTCATTACTTCACGTGTCTTCCTTAATGCCCATCACCCAGTTACCCCATACCCCATACCCCACCTCCCCTCCAGCAACCCTCAGTTTGTTTCCTATAGTTAAGAGTCTCTTATGGTTTGTCTCCCTCCCTGATTTCATCTTATTTTATTTTTCCCTCCCTTCCTCTGTGATTCTGTTTTGTTTCTTAAATTCCACACATGAGTGAAATCATATAATTGTCTTTCTCTGATTAACTTATTTCACTTAGCATAATACCCTCTAGTTCCATCCACATCATTGCAAATGGTAAGATTTCATTTTTTCTTTTTTTTTCAGGATTTTATTTATTTATTTGACAGAGAGAGAGAGAGCACAAGCAGGGAGAAGCAGGCTCCCTGCTGAGCAGGGAGCCCGATGCAGGACTCGATCCCAGGACCCTGGGATCATGACCTGAGCCAAAGGCAGATGCTTAATTGACTGAGCCA